TGTCACGATGGTATCGATAAGGAAATCTTCGTGTGTACCACTGTATAGTCCTTGAGATCAGTCATCCCCAGTTACCCCCGAGTGATTGCTGTTTTCTTCATCCAAAGAAGGGTATACTAATTATTATTTTCATAATAACTGACTATCGCGTAACAGTATCACGATGGTATCGATAAAGAAAATCTTCCTTGTGACCACTGAATAAGTTGCCCCCAGTTACCCCCAAGTGACTGCTGTTTTCTTCATCCAAAGAAATGTATACTAATTATTATTTTCATAATAATTGGCTATCGCGTAATTTCGCGAATGGAAAATTTCGCGTAACAGTGTCACGATGGTATTGACAAGGAAAATCTTCGTGTGACCACTAAATAATCCTTGAGATCAGTTAACCCCAGTTACCCCCAAGTGATTGCTGTTTGCTTCATCCAAAGAAATGTATACTAATTATTATTTTCATAATAATTGGCTATCGCGTAATTTCGCGAATGGAAAGTTTCGCGTAACAGTGTCACGATGGTATTGACAAGGAAAATCTTCGTGTGACCACTAAATAATCCTTGAGATCAGTTAACCCCAGTTACCCCCAAGTGATTGCTGTTTGCTTCATCCAAAGAAATGTATACTAATTATTATTTTTATAATAATTGGCTATCGCGTAATTTCGCGAATGGAAAGTTTCGCGTAACAGTGTCACGATGGTATTGACAAGGAAAATCTTCGTGTGACCACTGAATAATCCTTGAGATCAGTTACCCCCAGTTACCCCCAAGTGATTGCTGTTTTCTTCATCCAAAGAAGTGTATACTAATTATTATTTTCAAAATAATTGACTATCGCGTAATTTCGCGAATGGAAAGTTTCGCGTAACAGTGTCACGATGGTATTGACAAGGAAAATCTTCGTGTGACCACTGAATAATCCTTGAGATCAGTTACCCCCAGTTACACCCAAATGACCGCAGTTTTCTTCCTCCAAGGAAATATACGCAAATTATTATTTTCATGATAATTCGACGATGTAATTTTTTAAAAATTCGTCCATTAATTCGCAATACAGTGGATTTTTGAAAATTAGGTAAATCCGCTTATGAGATACGCGGAGAGGAGAGGTAACGATATCGCAGCAACGATTTCGATGCCATGAAACCGAATTAATCCGAGTGGATAAAAACAACTACATAATTGCAAGCGAATGCGTATGCAAATATCAGGTTGAACGGAGAAAGCAATTAAACGATCACGTACCGCGTCCTGTTTGCCTCAGAATGATATTAATTTAGAGCTAATAAGACAAGAGCGTGTTGCATTTACTCGCGAGCATCGAATTAAATTTGAAGTTCGCTAACGCTAACACAACGAGGCAAAAGGTGATCTTCCATTTCACGTACGCATTTATACATATATTTCAGATTATCGCGAGTTATGCGGGTCGCAGATTAAACGGCAATTAAATCTTACTTCCATTTTAAACGCGGCCAATTCCATTTTTAATTACCAACGTTATGAAGTACGTTTCTTCGACGCGAAAAACATTTTCATTCAACGAACGAAAGGAGAAAGTTAAATAAACGGTCAAATTGCAGCTGATATTTCTGTCCGTAATAGGAAACGTACCCTGCTTTCACGATGTAATGGTTGAAAACTGCAAGTCGCGATTCCACTACCCCATTTTTATTAATTACGCTTGGTGTACTAATACGAGAAGGCACACGATTTCGATTCAATTTCGACTATTCGTTCCAACAGCGACGTATCGAATTTATCTAATCCAAAGGTTTGAAAAGAGTTTAAAGGAGAGTAATTTCGAAATATCGTAATTTTAGGGAAATACGAAAAATCTGAATTCGATATTTATTTTCTAGAGCATGAATAATTTGCAAGGACCACTTCGCGAATTTTAAGTTATCTCATCGGTGGGGTTAAGAAGATGTTATACTGTCTGCCAAAATTCTAAGTTTATCGCATTACTCCGACAGAAAGTGTAAGGATAAAAGAGTATATTCCACTTTGTAAAATCCTTTTTGGTAAATGACTCGCAAAAATTATTTTATCAACTGCTACCCATCTTCAAAAAATATAAAAATAGGTATCGAATAACAAATTGTGGAAAATTCTAATTTTCTTAGATTCTGTACAGTACGTGACAAAATAATAGAACATCCTGTAACTTTTACTACTTCAAGAAACTAATGCAATGTAATGCAATGTATATTACGAATTAAATTAATAAAAAATATCTATTACAGATAATCATTTTTCCAATATTTTAATTAACTACTCCCAATAGTACTAACCTTCGCCTACAAAATCAAATTTAATTTATAATTGGACGATTATTTTTCCCCCGAGATATACCGCTGTAATGTAATGTATATTATGAATTAAATGAATAAAAAATATCTAATTTTACGAAAATACCTTAAAGATAATAATTTTCCCAATATCTTTATTAACTACTCACAATAGTACTAACCTTCCCCTATAAAATTAAATGTAATTAATAATCAGACGACTATTTTTCCCCCGTATATACCGTATATACTGCTGTAATATAACGTATATTATGAATTAAATGAATAAAAAATACCTAGTTTTACGAAAACACCCCCAAGACAATAATTTTTCCAATATCTTTATTAACTGCTCCGAATTGTACTAAGCATCCCCTGCAAAATCAAATTTTACAGATATACAGATATGCTCCTGTATTGTTACTCAGGATACATTGAAAATCAGTGGTATCATTTTGTCACGTGCTGTACATATAAAACCGAACCTAACACCTGTTCGATGGATCCCAAGTTCCAACTTGAAGTTCGATGGAGCCCGGCAAATTCGCTTCCCCTACGCAAATCACGCAACATAAACGTGCCACTCTGACGCCTTACCTACTCGAACCACCCTCCTAATTATTCCAATCAACATAACTCGCTTCGCAGCAGCTCAATTTGTTGCTCGATTTCCCTGATCTTCCAGCAGGAAGGACGTTATCCTAACAGCCACCGATACTTGCCCGATCGCGTTAATCCACCTACCACTCCGCGATCCAAGGGAAAAACGACAGTCGGTGCAAGGGAAGCTCGCTAACTAATTTCGTCGCCAGGGATATCAGCGGTTTCCGGCAAGAGTCAGTCGAGCGTTCACCCGGGGATTCATCGAATAATCTAATTCGCGGGGTCGAGGTCCAACGATCCGTAGGTTATACAGCATTGTGGCGGACCCTATCCTGGAAACGCATTTAATTAAAGCGTCGCGGTCCGTGAGATTCCGGCTAGACGAAGGAGGTACGCTTCTTTGAGTCGCGAATTTCCATAGGACGGCCAAGCGAGACCCTGCCGCCGGCTAGAACCCTCTGTCGTCCTGCGTCGGCTGTCTTGGCAGGGTTAGGAATGCCCGAATGCCACGTCGTGCACTTGAAGCGTCTTTTAATGGGGCCGAGACGCCGCGTTCCAGCGTCTTCTCAGACGGCCATGTTAATGGCTACCGCCGCCGTGGCAGAAGCTTTTGAAACATGCGACACGCCCGACGCGGAAACGCGTAATGACGCATTAAGTCGCGAGAAAACGCGGTTGAATGGACCCCAGGCTATTCGGTGTAATAGGTTTTCAGTCGGAAACACGCGATACCTTTTCTCCTCTGTCTCTAACCCAACGGCCATTTCGCTTTTGCTGGCTGGATCGAGCGAGAGACCGGAAGCTCTGACGTCGACCCACATCTCGGAATCCTTGTGTCAGGATTTCCCTCACGGGGTGGCTTTCGTTTAATTTACCGGATTTCTTTCTCTTCGATACACGCTGGTGAAAGTGAAGGAAGAGTTAATTAAAGGAGCGACCAGGAGTAAGGACTTTTTAGGCTTTTGGGAGGTGTCCATGGGTAACGAGGTTTTTTAAAGGGATTTAATTGGGATGGTGACGCTGTACGCCTTTTTCAAGAGTTCGGTCGGGTTCGCGTTCACACGGTTTAAACGTCCAGGATGGACAACGTGTAATGGCGAAATAAAACAGACAAGACGTGGATGACTTTCGGAAGTTAAATACCAAGTAACACAAGAGTCACGCGATTCTGCGTTTTAATCAAAAAGCTTCTCCTAAGTTCCTCCACAGACATGTCTTTGGCTACGTATGATGACAGCTAGGGAACTTCTCGATTGGCTGTATTAGCAAGAAACATACTTTACGATTGAATAATTAAATATAAACACGCTTCTTATGATTTCAACAAATATTTTCCGAATTAATATTAATGTTATTTAATAATATTACTAAACACAGAATAGTCCTCTCAGAGAATATATTTTAGCATCTACCGTTGTTTCAAATATCATTTTTAAATATCAGAGGAGCTGAGAACGTTACCTCAATTAATACCTGAACAGAGAACGACGTATTATAGGAAACTACTATCAGCGTCCAATTTAAAATCGCGATATTATTAAAAATAGAATATTACTCCCAGATGAAATATTCCTCCATCATATCCATCACTGTGAACGTCCGTGGAACGTTGGAAATAAATTTAGCCAATCTCCTCTGCCGATTAAGCATCGTTGTAAAAATTAAAAACTATAATTGATACCTAAAAAAGGAGCAGATGATCAAAGGCTATCTACGTCTACTTAAACTGCAATCTCGGAATTACTGCGACCAGAATGTTCCCTCGAAGTAATATATTCCTTTACCTCAACTGTCATTTTGAATACCAATCAAACGTTCGGAATTAAATTACCCAGCGTCCCCTATCGACGGATGAAAAAAGCGGAAAGCGTAATTGATGCTTGAAACAAAAACGGCACGTCGTTGGAGACTATCAGCACGTTGCCTGAAACGGTCCCTTAACCCCGGGAAATTAATCGTTCCTGATTCCGTTCAGCGATAACGCGGACCAAGCGTAGGTCTACCCCCCATTGATTAATAGCGGCTGTTTGATGATCAATACCGATTATCATTGCGGAGTTTACATGTCACGCATTGATTTCATGCACGTGCATTAATTAATCACCTTTGACAATGATGCGTAACACACAGCTGGCCTGCTTCTTCGATACCGGGTGTCTCGCGAAGAACATGATCTCGTGCACCCCCGGGGTTAGGTTCGCCTCCAGCCTGGTACCCCAGGAAGGTTTCGATCGAACGTATCGGAACCAATCGAGATCCGTCGACGGCTGGTCGAACGTCACGAATGCCTCGTCTCTACCTGGCGGCAGTTCCGCGACCACGTCTTTTGGACACTCTAGACGAGGCTTGCTGTATCCTGAAACAAAAAACAAATTCAGGTTAGAGACTTAAAGGTATAATATTTCATCTCGTGGTACCGATTCTAATATACAACCCTGTTAATTTGGAACCATGGTTGTTGCAACGATTTTTCAAAGGTGTGTGATCGACAAGTGGGGTTGTTGGATTGTTTCGTAAGTATAAAGCACGTAAATTTATGAGATGAATTTTTGTATAAAATGAATTATTGCAATAGTATAATTAAATGGAAATTTATGGTGAAAAGTCACTTGAACGATGAAATTGTCCAGTAATTTATAATAACAGCTGACAAAAGTATCAAGTTTTTTAAATCTAGCCTAAGTTATGTATTTAAATATACACTTGAATCCTATTCGACAATTTTTTATTCCAAGTAAAAGCATTTTCTTGTACCTTAAATAGTACATCAACATTTTCCGCGTCTGTAACTAGTTTAATTAGAGTTGGAGGAGATACGGTAGAAAGACGGGGACTACGCTAATGCTATGCAAACGTTAGGTGCACGTGGAAACTCGAATGTTTAATATTGTGTCGTTACTCGAGCTGGTGATACGCATATGTTATTTATAGATTATTAATAATTTAAACGTGCATCTCGCCGAATTTGAGGAAAGGAACTTAACTTGCGACAAATATTTATCGCGAAAATAATATCGAAGGTAAAGTATAGATAATTTAATTTATGTAATAATACAGATAAAATAAATTTTATCGATTACGCGGGTAGAGAGTTATTTTCCGAAGAGGATAAAAATTGAGAAGAAATTGCGGTAACTTTTCTACTCACTGACACACTCGCCATGTTTAGGACCATCCCATGAACCATCCGATCGACAAGACAATTCGTATTCCCCGTGAAGTTGATACCCATGGGGACACTTCAAGAAACACTTGGTACCTGGACGATTCGCCACTCTTCGTCTACCTTTCCATGGCTTCGGTGTCGCTAGACGCGAACACATTAAATATCCTCGACCCTCAGGATTCAACGGTGGACAGGATACGTTGTTTATATCTGAACAAAGAAGAACAATCAAAGTCTATCACGATCCTGTATTAAAAAATAAAAATTTCTACGATTTTACTGCTCAAGAAAAACCATCTATGAAAGAAACTTTTACTTAATTTGAAAACTTGACATTACGTAAAAGCTACGGTGAAGTGCACAACTGAACTTATACTACGTTAAATACCTGGAACTTGATTAATTAATAATAATTAAGAATTAATAACTTCACCTCGAAGAAAATTTTTTAACGAAACTACCAGCGTTTGAATTCTTACAATTTTTCAGTGAAAGACTGTCTTTATTTTCTATTATATAAATGTCTAAGCAGGAATTAAATATAGGGATGTGAGAGTACTGGCTTTGTCCTTTATATCAGCCCTACAAACGTTATTGTACAATTCCTTCTCACAAAGATATTACCATTTAAATATTAACGTAGCATAGATTCAATTTTTCTCTTCACTATATGAGCCGTTCACTGCACAAATCGATTAACTCCACTTTTTGAATAATCTTAAATTTATAGCTAAATTTTGACTATAATATTTAGTTCGATTTAAATTATAAATGGAATTTTAAAAAACAATATACATTATTTCATTGCATTTCTCCACTTTCTGTTTTATGGAGTTAATCAATTTGTGCAGTGAACGGCTCATATGTCAGAGATAATTGGAAATTTTGAATTTCCAAAATTTATAAGTATAATTCCAGAATTCGAATCATATTTTTCCTAATCAATACCCTAATTCGCCGAAATAAAATTTGCTTCACTTCGAAAATGTAATATTATTATTATATTTATCTATTTATACTACATATATGTATATTATAGTATATATTTATGCTATAGAGAAGCCAACGATTAATTAACAATTTAATAACTACAAATGCTTTATATCGCCTAATGAACGAAACAAGCTATACAATAAATAAATCAGAGATTAATATCCTCGCTCGTGCCAATCAATTGCCAGTATCGACTCCATCCCGAACAATCTCAGCTCGAAAACTACGACGCAATTAAACAGTCCCGATCCCATTTTCCAACAATCGGAAGCCATCAAACACTCCATATTCATCTGCGATTCTCCCTCGACCCTGGCAAGGCTGATTTTCAAAGCTCCGCATCGATCATCGATATGATCCCGCGAATCCTTTAATCCTCTTACAATTAGCTAGATTTTCGCTGACATGGGCTCGTCGCGAGGTAAGGGGAGTTTCTGTCACCGTTAATCGGCTACCCTCCGAGCGTCGACGACGACGCAACCCAGGCGAGGCGTCGATACGCGTCGGGCGTAATCTCGATCCCTGCGACGTCGGCCGAGCATTATCGTCCATGGCGGATGCTCGGTCCCATTATCTCTCGTGTCTGCATAATATACGAATCGTGGATGTTAATGAGAAACGGGTAGAGGCGTATCGATGCTACATTTGCGAGAATCAACCCCGTGACGGTTCTGCACGCCGCCGCGGGTATCGACGCCGTCCTGACGTTGCCAGGCTTGTGTTCCCGTTGAAACGGTCCAGGACTCTGGTGTGCGCTAACACCGTGCAAATCGGGTCATTTCATGGAGAATCTTGCGAATTTGCAATATACTGCTGAACAGCGAGGTCGTAAATTGAGCCTCAGAGGAGTTGACACATTCTATGCGGTTAGGGTTGTGCGTTATCATCGTGAAAAAATTGCTATCTCGTGATACTTCGTTATCGACAACTCACTGTCACCGCTTAATCAAATTTCGAAGATCGATGTCAATTAATACGCCAAATTTTAAATAACGCAACGACCTGTAGAATGTCGAAGAAAATAATCCCACGTCTTAATTTGTATACGATTTCTTATTTACCGTTTTAAAAATATCATCGACGCAAAATGTCTTCGAATTGCTATTTCTCTGCAACGAAAAATTCGTCCACTGCAAAGGCTTAATTATATGTATATGTATATATATGGAAGATAGCGAATTTGCGCAGGAGTGACTATTTCATGCAAATATTTGTCGCGAGTAATGGAGGTAGATGAGCCAGGATACGTGATTAGGTCTGAGACAGACATGTTTATTCTAACTGCGATTAATTTAGTTAATAATTACGTCTGTTTGCCTAGGTTCCTTGGTATATTACAGTTTGTTGTTATACCTGCACTCTCTATTAAATTACTAATTGAACTATAGAATAACCACGATGCACTTGCCATTTTCTTTTCAGATTTTCCACAGAATCGTGTAATATGGAAAAAAATATTTTTAACGAAATTCGTTCTCGGCTTTTTAATCTTTTTACGTTAATGTTTCTAAAGGCTGTAATCTCCCTGCTGTTATAAAAGCAAAAGCTACTTGAAAAGGAGCGAGCTTAAAGCTAGCTGACATTCATATTTCTAAAATTTCTCTCAGAGTAGCATAATTAAAACTAATCACTACTTCGAATCTAGAGAATTATATGCATTATAAAATTAACTCTTATTCCATCCTCTTCTAACCATATTCTACAATTATTTTTCAATTCCTTCTCAATTTTGCTATCTTACAGAAATGTTAATAATAACCTCCATCTGCTTCCTCCGTGCAATTACGAATTTGAAAACTTTAATAAAGAAAATAAACGAAATTTACTTCAAAATTATACCATCGATCCAGTTCAGCTATACTAAAAGTCCCTAGGTCGTTGGAGAACTTTGCAATTTTTAGTTTCAATAGAAATTTCATTAAATCCCAGTTCTCCTTTCTTCTTCCAGTCTCCGTTAGATCGGGAACAGACTCTTGCCCGTGATTTCACGGGCGTGTATAGAACAGGATAAACCTCTTGTTAAATTTTCAAGTATTATACTCGATTCCGCGGCTCGGCCTCGAACGCAATCTTTATCGATAATTTAATGAAATTCGGCAGTTATCGGTTCGTCGCGAAACGTATACTATCGGGCCGAATCGGGCATAGCTGTGCAAACAATCGCAATCTGGGTCACTTGATTTCATATTCCTGGAGAAACTTGTAAAACGTTAGCGTGCACCCCGGCCCGATGCAAATTTCACGCTGGAACTTCTTGTGTCTTTCTTATTGCCCGATAAGTTTATGCAAACGAGAGGGTAAACTCGGGCAACAAAAATTTGAACAGCCCCGAGGAACGAAATCGGAATAATGCGAGGAGAAGCTGCAGCCCCAATTCCATAAGGGTACAACGATACGAATGTATATCGGATTGAGAAGCGACCTTTCCGTTCTGGATCTTATGCACGCGTTGCAGAAGAAGTCGAGGATTTTAATTAAAATTACACCTCCGTGCACAGAGTATCGGAATTAAATTCAAAAGGGACGTTATTAAAAAACAGAAATAAAAATCACGGGGAAGGAACATGGTAAATCCATTTTCGTAGATTCTTTATTTCGGTGCCACGCGGTAAGCAAGGGTACTTTAGTACGACACAGCTGGAGAGGGAAATAATTTATCAAATTCAAACTCGTGTCTTTCAAGAATAAGCGAGAAATTTTATAAAAATATCGCGACCATCGGTATTTATAAAATATTCAAGGGAGCGACGAAGATAAATACTTATTTTCGAGCTAGCAACACGGTAGCGATAATATCGGATGGTTTGGAATTTTAAAATCGTGCCATTGCAAAAGGTGAGAGATACGTCGTGTTGTCTTATCGACACGAGTTAGATCTATTTCTATTCCATATAATATCGTGGCTCTATTGTTCCAGTGCGTATTGCATTCTCTTGTATGCGGTATAATAGCTACTGGCTTCGTGCCGCCATAGCGAAAGGAATAACGAATAGGACCATTGTTCCAAGAGGATTTGGCAATGAAGTGGGGAAGCTAAAGGTGCTTTCTGATAAGACAACTGTGGGCTACTTACCCAAGAATTGCGGAATTGAATAAACGCGTGAGTGATTTCGTCAGTGCCTATGGTGAAAGTTTATTATAATTTATCACTTGCATTTATGCGATATATGCAGTTCAGGCGGGATGCATTTTCTGATTAAATTAGAAAGAATATTAATCGTCTATCAAGAACGGATGATTATTTTTATGCTACAATATATATATATATCTTTAACTTTATGATTTTGCAAAAGGATGATGAATACATGCATTCATATGTCTATTCATGACCAATATAACCATTTTAATATAAATATTTAATGGTATAATATTTCATGGTATAAACTAACCAACGTAATCTGATACACGAAATTAATGATACATACGCTGAATTTTAGTCCACAAATTACACCATCGAAATAGTAATTACACCCGCCTCTCGAATCATCGCATAAGAAATTCGTAATCGAAATATCAACCCCTATCAAGAAATCCTATCGCATTTTTAATCCTTTTGGTATCGATTAAAAGTATACCATCGTCCCAAAATTTCATATTTCGCTTATCCAACGAAACGATTACACCATCCTGCCAGGTTATCGTATCGGACAAAAGCCCTAAGGTTTAATCGCTTCAGCAATTTCTCAGAGCGAAAGCATTCAGAGGATCGTCCGGGAAAACAACCGTCGACGATACACGGAAAAATGGTTGAAGCAGGGGGCATTAAAGATAGACAAACGTTTTAAAGTTGATGCGTAAGACGAGACAGAGGGGGAGAAAGGCTCGAGGCGGGTGAATTAATCGGACTGCAAGAAAGGGGGACGAATTTGTCGTTGTCCCGCGAACACGCCGTAATAAAGGGAACGTATTACTCAGCCGTGTGGGTATTAATCGCAAAAAAGGCCCATGATCGCCACGAAGACGTCCGCGCGCGTGTCCGCGATAGCATTATTACGACGTGGCCGAGAAATTTCCCCCGCGTCACCGGAACATATTGCGTTTCCCAGACGCGCGAATGATGTATGATCCTGGAGGATGGGACCCGGAGGATGGGACGAGGAGCGACGAATGAAAAGGCAGGCCGAAACTTCTCGCCGGAGAAAAGGGAGCGTTTCGAGGGACGACGTGTACAGACTGTCTCAGAAGTGCAGGTCGATCAAAGAGGAGACGGTTAGGGATGATGAATGGAACCTTCCTCGTTTGATAAACGCTTTATCTTTCGGTAACAAAGATTTAAGGACGGAGATCTCGAGTTGTAAACGTATACACCGTGATCTATGATCGATGTTAACGCTGTATTGCTTAACCTTTGAACACGAAAATGCATTCAGTCGACACTCAGCATATATATTCTAATTTAATTATTAATTATAGTGCTCGCGATTGTTGCAAGGAATTTTCAAAATATTATTTTTAGTTATCTCAGGGGAAACGATTGAAATAGTAATTATACGATAATTGAAATAATTAAGTTCTGTCGCTTAAGTTCTATTCTTTATTTTATATTTTATGAACACTTGTTACGCGGAATAAAATACCGAGGCTATTAATTATTTTCAATAACTGTTAACGTTGTATCGTTTAATTTTTGAATAGGAAAACGCATTCATTCGACACGCGGCATATATATTCTAATTTAATTATTAATTATAGTTCTCGCGATTGTTGCAAGGAATTTTTAAAATATTATTTTTAGTTATCTCAGGGGAAACGATTGAAATAGTAATTATACGATAATTGAAATAATTAAGTTCTGACGCTCAAGTTCTATTCTATATTTTATATTTTATGAACACTTGTTACGCGGAATAAAATACCGAGGTTATTAATTATTTTCAATAGCTCAGTTTCCATATGGGACACTCGGCAGACTTTGGTCAAAGCTAAACTAAAATATCCCAGATGCGATCGATACGAGGAGTGGGTTGAATTCCCAAAGTCTACATTTTTTAAGTATTTTTATTAGGATCATCAGTATGCTATTTTGCACAAAACAGGATATAACCCGATATGTTCTACGCGAGATACAAGGAAATTTCTTTGGGGACACCATGATACGTAAAATTTGGGGAAAAAGAAAAGAAAATTACAAACGTTTCTCACCCATCACACGAATTATTAAAAATATTTAAAAAGAAAACTGTACCTAACCAAACACCCCTCGAGAACGTCAATTTTATACAGAAAAGCATCCACTACTCCAACCTGACCTTAATTCAATTTTATACACCCGTTGACGTGTCAGAAGCGATGTCATTCGTAAAACATTAAACCTCTCCTGTGTTCAAGAATTCTGTCCAAATTATACGACGCTCGTACAAACACGGGTCCAAAATTGAAGCCCGCATTAATCTTTCATCAACAAAACCTGCACGCTCCGTAACCGTATCTCCATCATTTAAACATTCATTTATTGCCATAAATAATACCAGCTTCCAGTAATATCCAATGTTTAACATACCGTTTAGTCTAGCGAAAACTAAATACACTATTAACGAAGCTTGTCCCCTCTTATTTGAATAATATTATAATTATAAATAACATCATAAATTAAAAGAAAAAAAATTAAAAATGAAAGCCAGACACTAAGCTAATGCTAGGCAACCATAGACGGTACAAGGAAAATCAATTTATTCCAAAAACGCGGTTGATGGACCACCAATCCTGGAACGCCCTGTACAAGATAAGAGACTTACCCATGCAGGACTTGCCATCGGATGACAGAGCTTTCTCGTCACCGTCGCAGGCGCAGAAGAAGCTTCCGTCCGTGTTCTCGCAGACCTCCGTGCATCCGCCGTTGTCGACCGTGCACTCATTGATATCTACGCAAACAGACGCGGGATTATTTCACCCCTTTATGCATGAGGAGTAACCACAGGGACGGGTCTAAACGTTCGCGGTATACGCGAGCGGAATACCATTCCCTTTTTGCCCTCCGCCGCGAGATGACGATTTATAAAATTTTCAAAACCGGCCGCGGCGTGCGCGGTATACCGATGAGCTATAATGAACGCGGGGACGCATGGCCACGTAGGAGGACCGGATTTACGCGGTGGGTCGCATTATGCGTGCTTATGCGTGCATACGCGTGCAGACCTTGGGAGAAAAGTGGATTGGAAAGCATTTGTTGCAACGCGGTTGTAATTAATCGCTGATTCGATGATGCGCGCGTCTGTCGAGCTTCTTTTAATGATCGCAGAGCTGAATTAAGCTGCCAGTGTTCGCGGTCGTCCCAAGTGCTTCGCGATATCGGGGGGCTGCGAGTTATCTGCTGACGTTGATTAATATTGGACTGGTTTCTTTTGTATTTAACGTCCGATGATAATGTTGGCAAGAAACACCGTGTTAAATTGTAGCAACTATTGCTAGTCGTTAATCAAATTATTCGTGAGCAGCTGAACTGGAAGTTGAAATAGAAAACTGACTGTCAAAATTATTCCAAATCGATACGAGTTAAATTGTAGTAACCATTATTACTCGTAAGTCAAATTATTTGCGAATATTAGAACTGAAAGTTGGAATAGAAAACTGACTGTCAAATTTATTCCAAATTAGAACTGAAAGTTGGAATAGAAAACTGACTGTCAAAATTATTCCAAATTAGAACTGAAAGTTGAAATAGAAAGCTGACTGTCAAAATTATTCCAAATCGATACAAGTTAAATTGTAGTAACCATTATTACTCATCAATGAAATTATTCGTGAATGTTAGAGCTGAAAGTTGAAATAGAAAGCTGACTGTCAAAATTATGCCAAATCGATACAAGTTAAATTGTAGTAACCATTATTACTGATAAATCAAATTATTCCCGAGTATTAGAACTGACAACAGAAATAGAAAGCTGACTGTCAAAGTTATTCCAAATCGATACAAGTTAAATTGTTGTAACCATTATTACTCGTAAGTCAAATTATTTGTGAATATTAGAACTGAAAGTTGGAATAGAAAACTGACTGTCAAATTTATTTCAAATTAGAACTGAAAGTTGAAATAGAAAGCTGACTGTCAAAATTATTCCAAATCGATACAAATTAAATTGTAGTAACTATTATTACTCATCAATGAAATTATTCGTGAATATTAGAGCTGAAAGTTGAAATAGAAAGCTGACTGTCAAAATTATTCCAAATCGATACAAGTTAAATTGTAGTAACCATTATTACTGATAAATCAAATTATTCCCGAGTATTAGAACTGACGACAGAAATAGAAAGCTGACTATCAAAGTTATTCCAAATCATAAGATACAATCTTTATATTTAATTTCCAAAAGATAGTATCTCTTCGTGTGACCTAAAGCTGTGCAATATTCTAAATACACATTTCGAATCCCTATTTAAATAATTCTTTCTTCCTGCTACGATTCCTAGTAATTCCTATTAGCAACGAAATCAATACATTTTTGAGATTTAATTTCCAAAAGATAGTCTCCATGAAGGGTATACTATGATTTTTTAAAACGTTCTCTATTTATTCCTTTTTTGCACGCGTCATCCCCTTTTATATACCAACTCCAAAATCCCAACAGAAACAAGTGTAACCTTTCGCAACTAGCACACAGCAGCTGAACCGGGCGGGTATTATTTCATAGACGAACGACTGGGGAACAAATCGGGAGAGTTAACAGCCGCCACACATCGTGCGCAAAATTGGAAAAGGGATTTCGAGCGATACCGGGTTGGCCTCCATTACTCGCAGGGTAACGAGCGTTTCCTTCTGTCGCGACGCAACAGCGTCGCAACGCATTCCTATCGAAGTTTAAGTTCCTCCATGCGAACGTACATGCGTCTGATAACGTGTGCGACGGTTGATCGTCTGAATGGCCGAGGTAAAACGACGGAAGGCCCCTTTCATTCGCATACAACGACTCCTCGTGGACGTGTCTGCATTCTTTCTCTAGCCAGCCACCGGCTGGCCGGTCAATTGTCCACCCGATGGCGGTAAATTGACCGAAATAGACGTACAAGGGTCGGCCAGATTGCGATTGCCTCGAGCGCTTTCAATGACCGCTAAGAGTGCTCGACTTCCGTCGCTTTCACGACCTACGATCGCGATATGCCGTACGACGCGGACCATCCGCGCGATAATGACGCGTCGACAAAATGGACGAGCAACGTCCCTTTTCGTGCACCCCATCCGGCCCCCGAGGTACACCACCAATCGATACAATACCGCTTGATTTTTCTCCCCTGCCATTCCTTTTGTCGGTTACGCGCATTCTTACTGGCACCCTGATATCTCCCGAACGTGAAAGGAATACTCGGCGAGATTTATTTCGTTGTCGGCTATGTGGGTTTATTTCGCTATTCGACTACTGTGAATTTCGATTTATTGCTGCGCCTTCCGAGGTACCGCGTCTCTCAAAACTGTCATTCATCGAATGGAGGAAACCTAAATAGTGAGGTAATAGGTGAATAGGATTGAATAGGGATACCACGATTGGCACGAAGAAACGTACGAATAACTACGCACGAGTGTGCATAGCTGTGCCTCAGGCTTGTGTTTGCTATACCGATATGATTAGGCTTTCGTGTTTTTGGAGAATCTTGGAAAATAAACTCACGGATGGTGAGAGCGTGTAGTAGATATATACAGATGGAGCGAAAAGGGTGAAGGAATTCGAGACTGATGAGGAGAAATCTTCCTAGCTGAGAATGCTTTCGAGCAAATGTATGTAGGATCGTTTTTGGGTGGATTTAATAAGTTATTCAATAAAATAAACTTGTAAATAGAATGACTGCGGCTGGCTCTTCTTTAGACTTTAACATCCTGTGTTAGACTGACTTGGACTACTTACACTGACTGACACATTCTTTCGCCTGCGCCCTTGTACCTTTATTTAAACTGTTCATTCTGTCCTTCCTTCACACTCTGGCTTTCTTTCACAATCATGCCTCTTTCCCCGCAACCTCGCTGGACCAAGTACTTCAAACACATGCCGCACTCATAAACTAACTTCCAATCGTCTGGATACACATCTATTCGATCCTTTTGCGCGTGGTCATCTCCTTTGTGATATTTTATTCTATATCCTTTGTCATATTTTATTCTATTAAGAAATCAACGATACTATCTTATGTCAATCCCTACAAATCCGATGCTACGTGTATGTCCATCTTTGAACTAACTCTGTGAGTAAATTGGAATAAAAATCACAACTGTCCGTAGATTAAACCCTGCTCGAAAATTTGTTATTCTAACGATTGGTAGACGTATTGCACGAAAGTAAGTCAGACTGAATATAACTTTGGTTTTGTTTCTCCCGAGAGACGAGAAGTATCGGATTATAAAAATTCTTGATAATAACGAAACTTCGGTAATTAAAGGATGGATACACTTGCTCTAAGGAGACAGGAGACTCGCCGAGTTTTCAAGACACAGACACTTAGCAGGACTTTGTTCGCACTAACTCGTTTAACTTCTTTTTGAAGGCACGTAACTTTTAACTGGCTCATTTCGTTCACGGAGCATCCACACGCGAATTTCAAGTGGCGTGTCACAATTAATCCTCGTCCGGAAGAAGAGTCTGAATGATACAAAACAGGATACCAGTCGGGATCTAAATTAACCGATTTGTCGTGCCCCTCGCGTTATGTGTTATTCATTGTGAAACTTCGAAGCAAATCTGAGAACTCTCAGCCAAGCTAGACAGCTTTTTATGCCACTTCATGAGCCTCGTGTGCACATATGGTAGACATCGATCCAACAGCCATATAGCAGGTGCCTGAAGAAAATGTATTACGGAGCGGAAACCGCTATTGCATAACTCCATCGCTAGATATCGTCTAAGAATATCGTGGACAGTTTCTGTATTATCTAGATCATTTACACGCACGTATTCCTATTTTCTTTCCATTTTTCTGATTATTTTTGAGATAACTGGAATCTCCATAATTTTACGAAAGGTGTACAAAGATATTCGGATATTTAATAACCTTTTAATCCTTTGCACTGTAATTGTTTTCCTAATTTAAACTCGGCCAACTCTGATTTAATTTCTCTGCTTTTGATATCACACGCGGTTATTTAAATTTTAATTGTTGATTAACGAAGCGATTGTTCGTAGAGAATGTATAATATCAAAGTACAAAGATATTCGGATATTTAATCATTTTTTAACCCTCTGCACTATAATTGTTTTCCTAATTTAATTTCGGTCAACTCTGATTTAATTTTTCTGCTTTTGATACCACGTGCGGTTGTTTAAAGTTTAATGGTTTATTAATAAAGCTATTGTTCGTAAAGAATGTATAATATCAAAGTACGAATATTTAGTTCATTGTTATTTATATTTTTTTAAAGTATGGTCCTTTTTAAAACAATCTCCTGCATGTAAATATGGCTTCCTGTTGCATGCTTCACGAAAGTAGACTGTTGTTCGCTTTCCATCTTTTATTTTTCGATTCGAGCATTCTATGCAATCATTATGTTTGCCTTGGGGAGCTGCCATTAGTATATGTAATTTATCATTTAAATAAAAAGACTTCCCCCTAATTTGTTTGATCAACTGTATGAAATGTCACGTCAAAGGTGACTTAATAGTTTTAGGGAAAAATAGTTTTGTCATGACAGAGGTGACCTCCTATTGCAAAGGGTTAATTCTTATTATTATTAATTTGCTATATCGTTAATTTCTTTTTATTATTATTATGGTGAAAGAGGAATATCGAAGAACCTCTAAAAATATCTCAACAGATAATATAATTTTGTAACTCAGTTTTCAGTTTCATGGATCATCACTCTATCCCAATACGATTCGAAGCATACAATCTGATGCAGACATTTCGAATGGAAAATCCCGTATGGTAGTGCACGAATAAT